TCCTTCTTCCCCTTTCTCATCATCATCAGAATCGGTCTCGCCCTGATGAGTTTCCATACGTATGACTTTCCAGTGGATTGCTTGATGCCAGTTCCAGATCCTCCTCCTCCAATGTACTCTTAAACTTCGGGTCTGGTGGGGCAACAACGGCGGCCAGTCGTCTTCGTTTAGATGTGAGAACCACCAATAAAGCAATAAGGGCTGTTAACACCACCGCGGCGGCCACCGCCACTCCAATGATACAACCACGATTACACTTACTCTCGCGTCTGTAGATCTCATTCTTGTGATCATTCAGGTACTTCTCCAGCCAACCCCAGTCCATACCATCCAAACACTGGGTGACATTAAAATCATACCGATCTGGCACAAACACTTCATAATCATTACTTATAATATCCGGTTGTAATGAAACTGGTATTTCCGTGCGGTTTGTAATGGTGGCCTCACACTCCGCACCGGAACCACTTCCAGCACCGGGATCTGGTGTGGTGGTACCACCCGGATGGACGAGTTCTTCACATATCGCCAATCGTGCACGTACGGCTTGAAGAATGGCCCACCGTAAATCATTCTCATGTTCTTTTGTAAGGCCACTGAAGTCAAAGCGTGGGGTTGGGAAACTTAGACGCACAACATTGTCAGGCATGTAGAGTTGACGAATAACCTCCAGTGAGACATCTGTGAGATTGACATCCTCCAGTAATGTCGTGGTGGTATCATTACCAAATGTTGCTGACATCAGTAGTTTCATGGTTGATATATTTGGGATATTATTAATGGTAACCGCCAATGGTGGATCTGCATAGATGCGTGGAAATTGAAGTACACCCCGTACTATTGCCACTATACCATGTTCCATGGCGAATAGTTTGGCGTCATCGCAGTAGGGAACAATATTGGTATCCATAAACACCACATAATTTGTGCGGGCATAGTATTCCCGTAGTAATGTTTCCATATCTACATAATTCGTACTTAACACCAAATCCTCTGTGGTGTCGTTATCAAAACTCCTCTGTTGCACAAGTACAGAAAAATTTGTAAGCCAGGTGGTGTCATTTACAACGAAACTGTTTGGTCCAACGATGGTATCACTTGTAGAAAGATGACTGTTTAGTGCAGTGTTCATACGTCCCCTGAGATTTGGCATAATATCATTTTCATCTGGAAATCCAACAGGAAGTGGTGGACGTGATAGTACGTCTGGAATCTCAACAGGAGGAAGTAGCACAGAGCGCATGGTATTATATAATTTGGAAACTACATACATCTCATTCTCTGCAATCACCAATAGTCTCTTGTTTCCACAAAAGTTGGGATTCTGTCCATCTTTAACGGGTGGACAAGGACCACTGATATCACCAGCGAAGCGATTCAACACAATCGACTTATTTTCCGACCACAGGGTAACATGATACAACTCATCCGCAGTCGATGCATAGATTTTTCCGTTTGGAAGTGCCTTCACATCAACAATAGCATTGGGGATCAGCGATACATTATCCCCCGCGTTTGTAAACCACACCAATCCCGTACTACTCGGTCCCTCTCCCACCACTAGTATTCCCTCCGGTACGACGGCGACTGCGATGTAGCGATTAATATCACTGAGAAATCCAGATAGAAGTATACATCCTGTAGGCACACCGTCAGCACCGATTGAACATTGCCAGACATTATCTTTCGTCTGTTCTGTAAGATATATTTTCGTCGCCACGCCGTTGGGATTCAAATTGCGATCGGTGGTAACGCCTGTGAAGGAGAGATTTGGGTCCACCGTAACGGAGCCGACAGTGGTGCTGGTGAAGTACCGCACCGCACTACTGCCTTGGACAAAGTACACCACACGTGCCCCATTGTTGAGATTAGCACGAGTACAACTCACTGGAAGACTTACTTGCGCCGTTGCCCAACTTCCATCTACAGATCCTGCGGTATCAGTGCCAAAGAGCGTGGTGGTCTCCTGTGTACTGCGGGAATAGGCACGGAAGTGTGTACTATCCCCAATAACGATCTGATCATCTGTGAGACCCTGGCAAACCGCAGCCGGGTCATTCAGCAATGATACACCAGGGAGGCCGTTGGTCGTGCCTTGTACTCCATACCTGCCAGCGACGGTCTCCGCTTCATACACCAAATCCATTAATGCCGCCGAACAACATCCCACCGCAGCCACAGCAGCGATAAGGAGAAGTGGAAATAAAAGAGACGGAGATGATCGGAGAGTCATCTTTTTTTTTTTGTCGATTATATATATATATATATAGCTATCGATATAGATAGATATGCCTGTGCGTAGGGCACTAATGTTGGTTCTTTTTTTTCTTTCTTTCCTTTCGGATTACCCTAATTCTGTTTGCTTTCTTTTATTTTTATTTATTGCTACAGTCGTGAATTGATTTCCTTCTTCCCTTTTTTTCCCTTTACCCTGTTCGGTGTATATATTTACAATGCTAAGTGTACAAGAGAATCACAATGAGTGACTATTGAAATAGCCACCACTACGGTTACTATGTATATATATATATATATATATATCGTATCCCCCTCTTCTTCTCTCTCTAGTTTTCTAAAACAATCTAGTCAAATAAACAACAACAACCAAAAAACACACGCACACACACGGAGAGAGAGAGAGTCAGAGAGAAAAATTCTTGTTTTTTCCCTTTTCCTTTTTTCTTCTCTCGTCAACTATTGCACACTGTCAGAAGCACCGGCTCCCTCACACTATAATATGATGGCAGCTAGTCCCTAAGAACAATATCAATGATACTTGCAGATTACCACTACTACTGTTATTAGTAATATTATTAATAAAGATAAATCAGAATCAAAGAAAAAAAAAGAAAGGGAAAACATGTAAATAATTCAGCAGAGAAACCAGAAGAGTCTTCTATTATACCTGCACACATATACACAAAGATAGAACCATATATATATATATGGAAACGGAAAAATAAACACAAATTCATACCAGAAGGAAAAAAACAGCAATTCCCCTGCAAACAAACAAACGAAGAAACAAAACAATTAAAATATTTCTGATAATGTAGTGGTAAAGTCATTGGACTCTCACCATACGATGAAACACACTTGCAGACGCATACACACACATATATATATATATACAACTCATCTAAATGAACGTCATTCAGTTCTCTTCCATCTCCCATATTTTCTTCCTTTCTTCCTCTTTCTAAATAGTAATAAAAACATACATCTCAGTCTTTTCTCATTTGTTTCTTCTTCTTATTTCTAGTCCACTGCTACACACACACACACAGATAGAGAGAGAGTGCCTGTTAATAGGAGAGCATCACTCCAACTGCTAAAAAGAAAAAAAGAAAAGAAGTATATAATGCAGAATCAGCAGTAATAGAAACAACAGATAGATAGAAACATATACAATGAATAGACAGATAAAATAGACCAAAATAAAAAGTGTTGAACTTTTTTTTTTCCTTTTCCGTTCTCATCACGTCAACTTTCAACAATTTCTTTTTCTTTTTTTGCTTTCTCTAGGATATGGTTTTTTTTTTTTTTTCAATGTTAACTATGAAGCTATGGTCAGTGCGGGTATGTGTTAAGTACAGGATTCCGTGCTTATATATATACATATACATATACATATATATATATATATACTTTCTTTCTTTTCCTTCTCTCTAATCTCTTTCTCCATTTATATATAAAGAGAGAAAGAGAGAAAAGAAAAGAGAGTCACACGTTTAACAAAGAAATATAAGGAAAACACACACATACCTCCCCGTAAATAGCACACAAACAGACAGACAGCCAGACAGAGACTCTCATAGCTCCAGTCCCCTCCCCTCCCAAGCTGAATATCTCCCCCGCTACAATTTCTTTTTTTTTTTTTTTTTCTCTTCTCTAGCAAAATAAACAAACAATACACAATATCAATGAATAAAATGAATACAGCAAATAAATCCGCACGGAACCAACAAAAAAAAAAAAGGGTAACATGAAAAATAAAAAAAAGGGGAAATAAACAAACAAAATGAAGAAAAAAAAAGAAAAAAAAATGGCCATGAAATTAGTAACAAAGAAAGAAAAACACACCCACACCCACACGAGAGAGACAAGTAAAGTTTTTCTCAATTTTTTTTTTTCACCCCATCCCCTTTTCTCAGCTTCTTTTATTTTATTTTTTTTAAATTTGTTTTGCCGTTCTATTTGCGATGATGACTGAATATTGTTCATTTTTTCACCTTTTCTCTTCTTCTTCTTCCTCCTCCTTATTCCTTCATCTAATAATTTCCCTTTTTTCCTTTTTTTTATTCCCTTTTCTTTCATTTCTTTTCCCTTGCCCTCACACTAAGGTGATTCTTACATCATGATTGGTACAATAAATAAATATATTGTTGGAGATATAAAATTCTCGACAATACGCATGTCTATATGTATGAACGTACATAAATACATACACAATGCAAATGGACCTGTAATAACAGTAATATATATTTTTACAATAATAACAACACAGATATCCAATCATGAAAGAAGAGAAATAGACTCCCCTCCCAATACATCCGGTATCGTTCTTTTCTTTCATTATCATGATAATCTTCTGTGATGTTTTTATATTTTTTATACTCTTCCTGTTACCAGTCGTACTATATTCTCTCTTTCTTCCCTTCTCTTCTCTTTCTTTCCTTCTCCTTTCATCGCATCCCATTGACAGGGAAACATAATAACAATAATAATAAAAAAAAAAACACACACACATTATCATAATAATGGGACTCATTCCACTCTAAAAGGGTGGAACCATCAAAACAGCTCTCAGTACATTCACTGGACTGGCGATCATAAGACCCACCAACGCCACACCTGTGAGACCGAGTACAATAGAGGAGGCAATCGCACCAGCGCAGACTTCATCACAGGCCGGTGGTGGTTTATAACCCACACACATTTCGCGTCTGTACGTTAAATCCACACATTCCGTTGTACATCTAATCATACAGAATTCCTCCAATACCGTGCCGGGTGCTCGTTCAGGGACTGTACTTAAGAAGAGACGTGTCCAATACCATGGAGAGGCAAAGAGACGGGCCTGGGCATCTTCACTGGCCATACCAAATGCTGTAAGGTACTCCGTAATGGTAATCGTCCCATCATGACTATGCAGTGTAGTGAGATTATTCCATTGAGAGACATTTACGTCTCCTGGTACATCATTACCAGGTGGTTGAAATAACGCCGTGAAATCAAGGCTGCCAAGGGCAATTCCTACATCTCGCATAAGCCATGCATATAACTCATGCATGAGTATGGAACTGTTAATGGGAAAACTCTCCGTTGGAAAGGCAGCCACCGCCACAGCACGATAAAGTGAAATTGTTGGCGTTAACGTTGGTGTAAATGTTTTCGTGGGAGTGAGGGGTATTGTCTCTGTTGGTGTTATTGGGACTGTAAGAGTGATGGTTGGAGTTTCCGTTGGGGTATTTCCCAGTGTTGGCGTCGTCGTGTAGGTTGCATCTCGTATAATATATACATTAGTGGTGGTTATCGCATAAAACTCATGTCTACTGACACTCACAAGAGAAACAATATTTTCTTTTGTCCAGTTCATCACCACACGGGGGCAAAGCTTGGGGGCCTCTTCTTCTGTTGCAGTTGTGGATAGTGCCAATAATTGTTTTTTGCCGCCAACACCACCAAAGTAGTATAATTCATTCTCATCCGGCGTTAACATGAGACCAGCAGAATAACCCAAACAGGAGATATTACCAATATACCAATAAGTCGGTTTCTCATTATTGGCCACCATATTAATAGAGACAAGATAGGATGTGTTCGCAGTGGCATACATTCTTCTCGTTGTGGTACCAATTTGCATAAGACCTGGTTGAAAACCAGTGAGATACTCACTTACCACATCTGTTCCCGTCAAGGCAACAAAGATAATACGGGTTCTGGCAGTATCAGCAACAAAGAGATCATATGTGCCTTCGGGTCTCCTGTAGGGTAATATATACCGTGGAGAAGACACCTGTTGATTATTGAGAAATGTACTCACCGTTCCGTCACCTGCAATGCGTCGAACAGCATTATTACCCGTGTCGGCAACATAGAGTGTATCTCCCACTCGTACAATACCTGTTGGTCGATCAAATAACGCTTGACCTGAAGCTCCATTTACCAAACCTCTCTTTACACCACTACCAGCAACGGTGAATACTCCACTTCTATTCACAAGCCGCACGGAGGAACCAGCACCACCGCTATCGGTGACCAGAACACTACCGTATTCCACTCCCCTCGTTGCACCTTTGGCTTCGAAGATGCTTCCTCTACCGGAAGGTCCATCGGTCTGTCCTTGTGCACATCTGGGACAGGAATAACTGGCGAATAAAGTGTATACAACCAGGTCATCAATGACTTCCTCTGCGGCGGCTGGTACAGACCCGTAGGGAAGTGCCAGCAACGACAGGAAGACCAAGAGGAATGTGAAAGGCATACACACGGGCATATATTCAGATAGGAATATATAAATATATAAATAAATAAATATATATATATATATATATATATAAGGAGAGTCTCTCTCTCTCTTTCTTTCTTTCTTTTCCTTTGTTGCCTCTTGTTATGAGAGGTATTTATTAATTTATGTGTTCTGTGCCGTACGAGTAACTAGCCGTAGGGGAGTTAACAAATGATAACAACGTGTGGGTTATGATAAACCGATTGCCTCCTTGCCCCTTCCCTATAAAAGAATCTCCCACAAGAACACACTCACTCAGAGACAGAGTGAAGAAAAAGAAAGAAAAAAGAAGAAACTCTTTGTTTTTCCTTTTTTTTCTCCTCTCTTCTTCCTAATTCACCGGTAGTGTGCGGTATATTTATATATATAAATATATAAATATATGGTGTCTTTCCGCCGAATGTTCTCTTTCCCTTTACGAAAACAAACAATAAAGCAAAAAAAAAAAAAAGAGGGAGTCCTGAGAAAACAACAGTCAATCTTTTTGTATTTTCTAAGAATGCTATTTTTATTTATTTCCTATATTTCCCTATACTAAAAGTGAAGGCGTGAATATAGTTTAAGGGAAATATATATTACAGAGTAGAAAAGAAAGGGAGAAAACAAAAAAAAAAAAAGAGAAAAGAGGAAAATAATACATACAGTTTGAGAGCAAGAACAACACATAAAGAGATAGAAACTCTTTTATCAGATATAGATAGATAGATAGATAGATAGATGGATAACAGAAAACATAGAAATTATTAGCAGTAGAAATACGTCGCAAGTAGAGAAATGAGTTCACAAAACGCCCAGAAAAAAAAAAGAAGAAAAGAACAAGAGAAAAGAAAAGCAATTCGTAAAAAAAGGGAGTGACCTGAAAAGAAAAACAAACGAATAGTAATCAACAAAGCAAAAGAAAAAAAAAAAAAAACAGAAAAACAAAACGAATGGAGTTTTTTTTTTCTTTTCTTTTCCAGGTACTCTTTTTCTCTCTATCTCTCCCTCTATCTATCTCTCTAGAGCGTACCTTAACCTTCTTAAACAGGATGAACGGAAGAAAAAACAGAATATACAAGTCTACCATAATAGATAATTCCCTCCCAAGATGTTCGTCCAAATAAAAAAAAAAAAAAAAACAGTAACAGTGGCAAAAAAAAGTAATTAGACACCAAAAAAAAAAAGAAAAAGAAAAAAGAAAAAAAAATGGGGAGATAATATCGCACATAAAAACACAGAAAAAAAAAGAAAGAAAAAGAAAAATACTATTTCCCACTCCCTTCTTCAGAATATACATACGATCACACAGAGAGGGGAGAGATTTTCTTTTAGTTTTTTTCTTTTCCCCCTCTTTTCCTTTTTGCAAAAGGATTCGTACTGTATTTCTAGGAATAATAATAATAATCACAATAATAAAGATAAGAATAAAGAAAAAGAAAGAGGTGCCTTTCCATTTTTCTTTTCTCTCCTCATTTTTATTTTATAAATCCTCTCTTTAGCCACTCTGTCATTAAACCACCACCACCACAACAATATATATATACCAATAGTGAAATCAAGAGAGAAATGAAATAATTCCCAAAATAAAGAAAGACGATGAATGCCAATAACGGCACATTACTGCAGTTGCTGTTGGGATCTCATCATCTCATCATCGTCAACTCCAACACAGTCCTCGTTATATAAACACAAGCAAACACACACACACATACATATATATATATATATATATATATAGATAGATTCATACATATTTAATTACAAACATACATCCGTAGAAACAAAGAGAAAAAGAGAAGACAGAGTTAAGGTAACTAAGACCAGTGAATCTATATAAAGACTCAAGAAGCGGCCAAAACAAAAAAAAAAAATTATTCAGGACCCCTCCTTTTTTTTCTTTTTTTTTTTTGACTCCCCCTCCTTCTCTATAGAAAAAGAAGAAACAACAAAAAGAAAAAAGGAAAGAAAAATAAAATTCTATTCTCTTTGGTATTTTCTTTTATTATTATTATTTCATTTTCTTTTTCTATTCATGTTTTTTTTTTTTTTTTCCTTTGAGTCATTTCTTTCCACCCCCATTAAATTCTCTTCTCTTTTTTTTTTTTCTTTTCTTCACATCTCGTGTGTGAAGTGCGTTCTTTTGTTAAGAGTGGGTTAACAACATCGCACGTACCAAGAATATTAATAATAATAATAATAATAATAATAATAATAA